GGGGGGAGTGGGGGGTTACCTGATGCACACAGCCAGCCTGGAGGGGCCAAGGGTCATAGGGGCGGCTCCCACCTGCTGGTTGGGACTTGCTCAGCCCTGAGCAGAGAGGCAGTTGGGCTGGGCAGGGTGCCCAGCACAGGTGCTGGAGGGGCTGGCAGGGCGGTGCTTTTCAGCCCCAAGAGGTGGAGCCAAGGAGACTTCCCCTAGAACCAGACTCACTCCAGCTCCAGGCCCAGGTGGGTACTCTTCTCAAGCTGAAGGCCAGGTGGGGTGGGGGACAGGCAACTTGAGGGCCCAAGGCTGGTGGTGGGCATCAGGGGGCACTGGACACAGGCCTTGCAGGAGCAAGGGGCAGGATTCACACCTGGACTTTGGTGGGCCCCAAGTTGGAAGTTCCCAGCTTCCAACCGGGGGCACCGGTACCTGAGGGAATGCTCAGGTTATTATGGAAATGCAGTCCCCAGCTCTGGCCTGAGGCTGTTGCTTTTAGGAAGCCTCAGAGAGAGACAGCTGGGAGGTGGTGGCCCCGGAGAAGGCCTCCACACTCAGGGGGCCCTGCCTCACCTTTCACATCTCAGCAAAAGGGGATATCTTGTGTCCAAACACCAATCTAGTGGGGTGGTGGTGGTGGGGTGATGTCACAGAGACCCTGAGGCTGCTGCCACTGGGATAAGGGTGGGAGGGGGGACAAAAACAGGCCCCCGCCTCCAGGGACAGCACAGTAGCAGGGTGGGGGTAGCGGGGAGCCAGGCCCAGGAGGGTGGGAGTCTCAGCTTGAATGTGCCTTGGGCCTAGAGGCTGAGGCAGTGTGAGAGAGGGAGGTGCCCAGCGAGGCCCCTCCCCTGTAAACAGGCCCCCTCTCTGCCTGCTCCTGTGGCATTCCTAATTGTTGATGATTGACTCACCCTCACTTCAAAGGCTTGGGCCAAGTTCAGCTATTTAACCTGCTGCACCCCACATCACTCTGGAATTCTGCTCTGCGGGGAGCTGGTGCCCCACCTGCGGACCTGCTCCTCACCTGGGCAGGTGCCTCCTCCCGGCTTCGGCTTCGGCACAGCCCCTCCAGGGCTATGTCCTCTGCCCTGGCCCCAGCCATGGTCGTGCAGGTGCCCCTGTGGCACCACTACCTGCAGGCCATCCGCTCGCGGGAGGCCTCCCGAGCGCAGGACTACCAGCGTGCAGAGAACGTGCTACTCACCGTGCTGGAGCGCGTGCATGCCCAGGACCCCCGCTTCCTTGTGGATTACTCCCGAGACCTGGAGGCCTTGCAGTTTGCCCTGCGCTCCTCGGACAGCCCAGTGGACATGGAGGTGCCTCTGAGGGTGGACGCTGAAGCCCTCCTGAGTGAGGAGCCAGGGTCCGGTGAGATGGGCGATGGCCCCGTGACCTGCCGCCTGGGTGTCCCTAGAGAAGGGGCCGGCTTGGAGCAGTGGGTGACTGACGACGTCTTCACTGCCTCCTTGAACAGCAGCGCCAAGTGCTGCGGCCACATTGTGCCCGGCAAGGTCCTGCACGTCCTCAAGGACCTTCTCGTGGCTGCCATCGTGCACTGCAAGCACCATGGCCTCATCACGCCAGGTAGTGGGCAAGCTCCCTGTGCATGAATGAGTGCATGCGTGTGATGGTGGTGTGTGCACGCACACCTGTGTGAGTGCTCAGTGTGTGTGTCAGGGCACACGAGTTGGGGACATCGCTCTGAGTTCTAAGAAGACATGTTTCATGTTATTTGAGTTTTACATGGTGATTTTGATAGTGACAGTAACATTTTAAGGGATGCTACTGTGTAAGCGGCTGGAAACTATGACCAGTGTGCTGTTTTCCAGCTGATTTGCTTCAGGAGGGTCCCTGATGCAGTTCTGTTGTCAGTCCCAGCTGGACCTGACAGTCCTCCCAGCTGTCCTCACTTCCAGCCTCTGGTCACATTGCACTGTGTGTGTGTGTGTGACTGTGGGATTGTGAAGGCATGTACATGTGTGAGTGTGCACACATGTGAGGGTGGGTGTGTGCGTACATGCACATGTGTGCACAGGACTATTTAACTTATGGCCCAGTTGCTAATTGATGTCTTGAGCCCCAAGTGGGATCTGTGGCAGGTACCTTCAGATGAGCCAGGGGTCTGGCCTCCGTCTCTCCTCTGGTGCCTTGATGTGGTCTGGATGGTGGCCCACTCAAGGCGGGCAGGGCCAGGAGTGGCAGGCTCCCTGCTCCCCAGGACTGTGAGGGGCTAGAAGCACAGGTGCGGGCTGTACAGGGCCCAGGGCAGTGGGGCCCGGGGTGAGGAAGTCCATCTTCCTGGGGGTCAGGAAAAAGACATCAGGTTGTCCTGACAGGCAATAAGGGACTGAAACAGAATGTCCTGCCTCCTTGGGAGGGACAGCCACGCGTGGGGGTGGCTGCACCTGGTATTAGTCTGGACCTCACATCTGCCATTAGGTCAGTGAGTGGGGATGGTCAGACCCCCGACGGACGGTGACCTGCCCCAGGCTGCCCAGGTGTGGAGCCCAGGTCTGGCTGCAATCCAGGCTCCGGCCCACCTGGTGACATGGTGACCTTAGCCACCTGGGCAGCCCGCAGGACCAACCTTCTTCCTGTGGGTTCTAGGGAAGCCGGGCATCCTCCACGCTGACATAAAGATTCAGAGGGAGGCCAGGCTCTGGATAGACTTGTAACACAGGAGGGTGGCTTCCCACCCCAGTCCCTCCCCAGACCTGGCTGGTGACTTGGGCAGTTGACCCCCGTCTCGGGGCTGATGACGGACACTGCCCTCACAGGGTGGCCGGGCCTGTCATTAGCTGCTCCTAAAGCCCGGCCAGCAGACATCTTAGCTGACCATCTCTGAACCTTCCAATTATCGAAGGCAGCACTGGCAAGGCCTTTCTGTCTTCTTCTGAGACCTAGCCTGGCTGTTCCTACCTGGTCCTGTCACCTTCAGGCCCTCCGTCCTGCCTAGGGGACAGACCCAACCAATTAGTTGAGCACAAGGCTCTGCCCAGCCCGGGGTCCTTCAGGCACACTCTAGGCTACCAGGCCCCTCCTCACCTTCCCCAGGTCCCCTCATCCTGGCTGAGAAGGCAGCCACACCCAGGGCCTGACCACCTGCATGCAGGAAAATTCCAAGCATTGTTTCCTGACACCTCCCTTAAAAGGAAGTGTGCAGCTGCAGGTGACAAGGTTCAGGCTGTCCACCCCACCCCCAACCCCACCCTGGGAGCCCCTGGGAACTGTGACACCAGGCCAGACTGGTGGGGAGTGGCTGGGATGGGTGGCAGGTGTGGCTGGCTACCTTCCAAGGCACCATTTCATGGACAAAATGTGTGACCAGTGGTAGCTAAGGAAATGAAGTCACCTGTGGCTTTGCATGACAGGTGCCTCAAATGCTAAAAGGGTGGGACTGGGGATCACGGAACCCCTCTCTCCCTTTAACTGATGGGAACACTGACGCCCATTCAGGGGGTGGAGTAGCCCAGGTGGCAGGGAAAGGACCAGCCCTGGGCTGGGTCCCATGAGGTGGCCTAAGAGCTGCCCTGCAGGAGATTAGGAGGAGGGGTATACATATGGGGTCCTGGTTCCTTTCTGGAGGACCCCCTCCCCCCCCAGGGCCCTGGACTCTCCAGGGAAGACTGTGTGCTGTAGGACAGGGGGAAGGACAACTGAGGGAGAAGGCCAGTGTGCCGGTATCCCCCACCTCTCGAGCTCCAGTCCCATGACCCCATGGAACGCCCCTTCTGGGTGGTCTGGGGCCTCTGTGTAGGGGAGTAGGCTCTGGGCTGGGCCCCATGGGGCCTGAGTGGGAAGGGGATTAGGAAGCATTTTTGCTGGAATGTTCTGTCTCTCCTACCCCCCAGATGCCAGTGGAATTTAGGGCAGCCAGGCTTGTCCACTGTGAGCCTTCAGGGAGGGCCTCCTGGCTGCTGGGCACCGAGCCTGCTCCTCCTAACCCCAGGCCTTCAGGGGCATTGTTCATTCCCTTCTGAGCAGACTTGTCCTTCACTTCCCAGCCCCTCCTGTGAGGGGTGTCTGAGCCAGCAGACAAGCCACTCAGAGAGAAGTGTTAGAGCCCTCCTGACCTTCCTCCTTGAGAGAGGGGCAGGTCTCAGAACCACCTGGGGCATTTTGTGTGTGTGTGTGTGGGTGGGTGGAGGGTTGGGCTGGTGGGCCCTTGGACCCAGCCAATGGGGCAGTGGCCAGGACCACTGGCTGAGGACCCTGCCCTGGGGCAGACCTGCTCCTCTTGGGTTGTGGCCTCTCCTGGCCCAGCCTGGGCAGCTGCTGCCGCCCCTCCTCCAGCAGAGAGGGCTGCAGGGGACATGGCCATGGGGTGGAACAGAACCTGGGTCAGGAGGTGCCCATAGGGAAGCCGCACTGCACGAGTCATCCGCTGGGTTGTGGGAACAGATACCATAGCCAGGCGCTTAAACAACTTAAATTTAGGCTGGAAATCCAAGGCCATGGGGTGGGCAGAGTTGGTTTCTCCTGAGGCCTCTGGCCAGTCCTCACATGGCTTCTTCTCTGGGTGGGATTCACTGGCATCTCTCCATAAAGTCCAGATGTGTCAGATTAGCACCCACCCTGATGGCCTCATTTCGCTTCACCTTTTCTAAGACCCCCATCTCCACATACAATCACAGTCTGAGCTGCTGGGGGTTAGGGCTGCCACACCTGAGTCTGAGGGGACACAATTCTGCCCATAACAGTTGTGCAGGCACCTGCTGGGCCAGCCCCACGCCTGGCTGAGGTTCCGTGTTGATACAGGTGTTGGGGGATGGAGGGGCCTGCAGGTGTGGGCCTGGACGGGGTGAGGGCCGAGGAGTGCCTGGGGAAGGCAGGGTTAGGCATGGATGAGGGGCCAGCCGGGCGGTCATTGCAGGTTCTCTGAAGGCGGACAGCCTGTGGGAGGAGGCGCTTCACCTGTCGCTGCTGGTGTCCAGTGGCTGGAGGACAATCCGCTTCAACGTGGTGCCCGTGGTGCGGTGGAAGCACAGGGTGCCTGTCCTGGAGGGGGCCCAGCGGGCGCCCGGGTTCCCTGAAGGCAGCTTGAAAAGGATCATCAGCCAAGAGGTGGCCCTGGTGCCCGCCAACGCCCAGCTCTGGAGGTAGGAGGCACCTCCTGGATCAGCGGGGTCCTGGGGAGTGGGCAGGGAGGGTGACACCCTGCTGCTCCGTGGGCATCTCTACCACACAGAGGTTACAGGAGTGTCAGGGGAATCCAGGGCACCCCTCCAAGCTTTGGGGAGTGGGCCGTGTGGTGGAACCCTTCATGACCAGCCCCGTGCGGGAAAGCAGCAAAGAGGTCAGGTGGCTTGTCCAGGGTCCCGGCAGGTTCCAGGAGCAGCTGGGAGGGTGGTCAGGATCTAATGAGACAAAGTAGCACTGGGGCTTCACTCCATCTGGGCTGCTCTTCCCAATTAGTGTCCCCGCTCCCAGGAGTCCCCCACCCAAGGTAGTTAGTTGTGATGTCCTCTCCCTGGCCCAGCTGAGGAGCCCAGCGATCTCGGGGAGGGTGGTATCTGCTGGGAAGGGAGCCCGAGAAGGTTCTGTGGGAGGGCGGAAGGGAGTGGGGGGCACAGGGCAGAGGCTGAGCTCCCTGCAGACCCCACACCAGGGCCCGGCGAACCTCATTGGGATCTACTCTGCTTAACTGCAGCGGGCACACAGGTCACTATGACTTGGCCAGGGTGACCCACCTGCCAGCTCTCATGTCTGGGGTGAAGTATGCAGGTGGGTGATGTTTGTAAAACTGGTTATGCCTTTTTGTGGTTTTCTGCTGCTCAGAAAGGCTCAGTAGAGCACCTGGGAGCCACCCCACCCACCTGGCCCATCTTTGCACAGAGCAGGGGCTGTGTTCAGCTAGTGATGACGCTGGCTGCCGAGAAAGGCTAAGAAGGGCTGGGCTGAGCAGTCATTTTTTGCAAGTAAATGGCCTTTCCTGTGCTCTGCCCACCACAGACTCAGGGATCAGTTGACCGTCCAGTGTTGAGACTGCACATAGAGTGGGGACCCTGAGGGCACCATGCCCAGGCCCCACCCTCAATCACCCAGCAAGCACACAGCTAGTGCCTCTGGTGTGCCCTGTGCTGTGGGCACTGCTGGGGGCAAGATTCTGAGCCCCTTTGTGGTCTGAAGCTGCCCGGTAGAGACTGGCTGCCAGAGTGGGGCATGGAATGAAGACATCATACCTGCCAGGCTGCGGTGGCTCCTCCCACACCCCTGTGAGGAGCCAGAAACCTCAGCTGCTCCACCCTGGGCTGCTGAGAGTGGCACCTTCCAGTCCCCATAAAAAGGCTTGGCTAGCCCAGAGGCTCCCCATGTCCCTCCGTGCTCTGTGTCTATGTGTCAACCAGACATTTCACACTAGACAGCCCTCTGCATGCCATTCCTGAAACATGCATGAAGCCCGGCTGCGTGCCTCCTGCCAGCCGCTGCCAAGGCCTGGGCTGTGCCCGGGGCTCAGGAGCTGCCCATCCTGGGGAGGCTTTCCTTTCTGGGGATACGCTGTGGATGCAGGGTGCCACCATGACACCTGGCTGAGGCCGAGATGCCAACCATGAGTGGTGTGTCTGTTGGGCTCCCAGGGTCTCCATGGACTACCTGCTCACCAGGCTGCTTAGCTCACTGGGCTCCCTGCCGGGCCACCGCCTGGACAGCCTCTCCATCCTGGATCGGGTCAACCATGAGAGCTGGTGCGACAGCGGCCAGAGCCCCGGCCTCACCTTTGATCACCTGAAGGTATGTGTGGGAGCCCTGTTCCCACTCTGCTGGGCCTTTGTCTATAACCAGAGGCCCGGGGCAGGGGACCCCAGGTTGGGCCCTTGGGCCGGCTCTGACCGATGCACAGCTTGGAGCAAGCTCTGAGTCAGAGGCTGCTGAGGCCTTGCTGGGTTCCCAGAGGCCTAGGCTCACAGTGACATCTGGCTACTGAGTGCGGTGGCACCTCAGACCTGCCTTTGCCATCCCAGGGCTGGTGACCCAGGGGTTCTCCTGGCCCTTTGGGTTGGGTGGCACACAGCCAGCCTGCCCACCAGCTCGTGTCAGCCCTGGGAGACCCCTGTCTGCCGACCTGGAGTCTGTGAATGTTACCGGCCGGGACTCCCTCTCTGAGTGGAGCCAGCCCAGCCCTGGCACCCCTCCTATACTGCCCAGTGGCTCCGTGACAGCACTGGAACAGTGTCCTCCTAGGGCTGGGTACTGCCAGGTGCTGGAAAAGTAGGGGCAGGAGCTCACAGAGTGGTGCAGGGGAAGTGGGTGGGGCCATGGAGTCTTGGGGTCTCTGCCCGGAGTGGGCAGTGCGAGGCCTCAGAATGCTGCTCCATGACACGGGTCGAGGGTTAAGAGATGTGGTCCAACTTGGTGCAGAAGAAACTCTACCAGGAGTCCCTGTGCGACCTCAAGCCACTCACCTTCCCCCTCAGAACTCCATCCCACCCCCTGAGGGGTGCCAACTCCTGAGGGGGTCCTTTGGAGTCTGACACAGGGTGGCTCCTGCAGTGAAGTAGGGGTGATGGGACGGCAGAGGGGGAGGGGACTCAGGACCAGGGGTGGGAGGGCAGTCAGATAAGTCTAATTGTGGCTTTCAGACATATTCTGGGCCCAGGAGTCCTGGGCACACAGACTAGGGCAGGGAATGTCATGGAGTGGGGCCCTTAGGGTGGAGCTATAGCGTGTGAGTAGGAGTTCAGTGGGAGTGGGGCGTGAGGAAAGGGCCAGAGGGTGGGTAGGAGCCTCAAATCCCCTCAGAAGGATCTTGGTGGCTGACGTCGGGGTGCCAGGGAGGCATGGAGAGGAGGCTGGGCGGGGACCTGCTCAGCTGCAGTGCCCTCCTGCCCCCGGGAGTCAAGGGAGGCACCATGGTGGGCACAGCAGGTGGGAAGGGTCTAGGACTCATGCTGAGGCACTGGAGGGTCCGCCCACATCCCGTCCCCAGGGCCTGACCCACTGTCTTCCCAAAGGCTGTGCTGCTCTGGGCCTCGGTGCTCTTCCCGGCGCCCGAGGACTGGGCGGAGCTGCAGGGCGCTGTGTACCGCCTGCTCGTCGTGCTGCTGTGCTGCTTGGCCACCAGGAACCTGCCCCACTTCCTCCACCCCGAGCACAACCTGCTGCAGGACACCAGCCTGGACCTCAATGCCCTCTACCAGCGCGTGGAGCACTTCGCCAGCCAGCCTGAGGCGTCCCTGCGCATCCACGTCACCCACCTGGGCCGCAGCCCCCCGCCGCGCATCGGCCACGGGGTCAAGGCGCTCCTGCAGCTGCCTGCCAGCGACCCCACCTACTGGGCCACTGCCTACTTTGATGTCCTGCTGGACAAGGTGGGCACAGACAGTGGAGGGGGCCTTGGGCAGACCTCTGCCAGGGTCAGGAGCTTGAGCAAGGAGGTTGGGTCAGCTCAGGGAAAGGATGTGACATTGGGGTCAGATAGGCCATGATTGCCCCCTGCCCACCAGTGGCCTCACAGGCCCAGGACTGCTGTCTCGGAAGTAGGGAAGCATGCCCAAGCCTGGCCCCTGTTCCCCCCAGAACCACCCAAACCCACAGTGAGAGCACTCAGAGCCCCAGCAGCTACCCTGGGCTCCATTCCTCCTGAAGGGGTGTGGCCTCTGTGGGCCTCATCGGCAGGTTCCCTGGACCCAGCAGTCCCAGGCCACATCCCTTGGCATTTAGGGGGTGCCTGTCTGCTCCACCACCTGCCCCTCTCAAGCCCCAAGGTTCCACCAGCTCTGCTGACCCTCCCTTCCCTCGTCCCTGGGAGCCCCCTCCTGCTCCTCCCCCAAGGGCCATCCCCACCTTCATGCCAAAGAGCCAACATGTCCCCTTCCAGGGCACACTCAGGGACATGGAGTGATGGTAGCGGGAAGGGTAACCCACATTCAGGCCTCAGCAAGCACCTGCCCAGGCCTCCTTGGTGTCAGGCCATCCAGGGACACCTGGGTGTGAGGAAGGCCCTAGGCAGGTCCAGCTGCAGGGAGGACTGTCCAGGTGAGACCCAGAGGCAGGAAGCCCAGTGGTCAGGGACAGGTGTTGTCCCATGCTGTGCCTGGGGCCCAGTGATGGACTCCCAGATGTCTCTGTGACCCCTCTGTCCCTGCCCTGCCCGCAGTTCCAGGTCTTCCACATCCAGGATAAGGACCGGATCTCGGCCATGCAGAGCATATTCCGGAAGACCAAGACCCTGGGCGGCGAGGACAGCTGAGTGGGTGCCTGGGCTCTGCTGCTGCTGCACTGCCCCACGGAGGCTCCTGGGACGCGGGCAGAGGCCTTCACCTTGAGGCGGGTGGTGGGTCTTGGAGGGACTTTGTCCGGGGGGGGTGGCCTCATGGGAGTCTAAGAGTGCAGGACAGTGGGCCCCTGGGAGCAGCTGCCTCGTCTCCAGGGGTGAGGGGCGTGTGCTTCTTGTGTCCTTCCACCTGCGTGGTGCCATCAAGACTCAGAAAACTCAGTGTCTGGACCTGAGGACTCGTCCCGTCTGAGTCAAATGCCACTCTGAGGTGAAATACTACGTGTCTGATCTGGAATAAATTAATGCAGTCCCAGGGAATAGCAAGAGTTCTTGTACCTGCCCACCTACCACAAGCACAAGGATGGGGCCTGCAGCCTCACTGGGTTTTGGAGATGCGGTTACCTCCTTGGGGAGGTCCATTTGTTGGCTGGCTCGGAGATGGTGAGTTCTGAGTGGGTCAAAGCACAGACTGGCTGTCCAGCAGGTTCATGGGCTGGGGTCCCTGGAAAACCCTAGCATGGAAGCTGAGGTTCTGCAGCAGAGAACGATAGTTCACTGTTCAAAGCACAGTGTCTGGTACTGGGGCCCCGCGGAGGATGGGCCCGACCACAGAACCCAGGCCACTGCGTGCCCACCACGAGCTCCGTGTTATAGGTCCTTGCAATGAAGCAGGAAAACATAAGTAAAAGGCATAGATATTGGAAAAGAAGTAAAACTGTCATTCATAGGCAACCTGATTATGTACATAGAAAACCTTAAGGAATTCACAAAGAAACTACCAGACTTGTTAATTTAAGAAGTCAAGAGATACAAAGTGAATAGAGGAAAATGAACTGGATTTCTATATATTACAAGTAAACCACTGGAAATAAAAATTTAAAAATACCATTAACAACAGCGTAAAAATATCACACATGCAGAAATATATCTAACAAAGGCTATGTGAGACGTCCACACTCAAAGCTAGAAACAGCGCTACATACGATCTCAAGCGATCCAAATTAATGTTTAGGTCTTTAGAATTTTTAAATTAAAAATTTATAATATGTTGATGCTTTCCATTGTACGTAACTTGATACATAGATTTAGTGCCAGTCCATCAAAACTCTGACACACTCTAGATAAGACAATTCTAGAATTTATGTAGAAATTCAAAGGCTCTCGGACAGGAGAAACAATTTTGAAATATCAAAATTGGAGGATTTGAACCACCTGACTTTAGACATACTAGGAAGCTGCAGTAATGAAGACAGAGTGGCACTAACGTGAGGATAACTAAATACAACAACACAAAATGGAGAGACCAGAGCAGACCCATGCATGTGGTCAGCTGACAGAGTGGCCAAGCCCGTTAATTAGATGGGGAAGGAAAGTCTGGTCAGGGTGGGTGAAATTGTACCTCCACTCCATCTCAAAATTAATATGACATGGATCATAAACCTACACATCAAAGCGGACACCAGTGCTTCTAGGAGAAACATGGTAAGATATCTTTAGGATCACAAAGTAGGCAAATATTTCCTGGACAGCATCCAAGCAGCACACACCATAAAAGAACACACTCAGACTTCATCAACATTTAAAATATCTGCTCTTTGAAAGACACGATATGAGTGCAGGTAAGGCACAGATTAGGAGAAAATGCTCCTAGCAGCGTGTCTGACAGTATCCAGAACCTATCGAATAACTATCACAAGTTTGACAATAAGAAGATAACATCAAATAATGTGAGCAAAACCCTTGGGCTGACACTCCTCAAAAGGAAATACATGAATGGCCAATAAACACATGAAAAGATGCTCAACACATCAATCATCAGGGAAATGCATAATAAAATCAAAGCAGATTCAATTTCACACGCACTGGGAGGGTGGGGGGGAAGAACGCCAAGTGATGGTGAGAGTGTGGAGCAACAGGAGCTCTCCTCCACGCTGGTGAGAATGTAAAAGGTTGCAACCACCTCTGAGGACATGGTAGCAGCGCCTTACACAGTTAAACCTGTCCTTACCGTGTGACCCATAATTCCACTCTAGGTGTTTACCCAAGAGAAATGAATAGGTGTCCACATAAAGCCTGTCTAAGAATGGTCATTACCTCCGTATTCATAGTAGCTCCCAGTTGGAAATCACCCAGGGGTCCATCAGCAGCAGGTGATGCACCAATTTTGATAAATCCATGCAATGCCATGGTAACCCAGCAACAAAGACTCGCCGCATTCCCACAGTAACCAAGTGCGAAGGGAAAGAAGCAGACAGGCTAGAGAATATACTGTGTGGTTCCATTTATATGAACTCCAGTCACAAAACTGATCCGTGGTGATGGAAATCAGCGGGAGGTGGGGCACGGACTGGATGGGGAGCTCAGGGGACCTGCCACTGGATGGTGCTTGTCTGCTTCTGGGAAAGCCCCACCAAGACAGGGCTGCTCTCAGGACAAAGGCCAACATCGTGAAGGTGACTTGCAGGGCCCTGCATGTTCGGTTCCCCAAGCTTTCTGGCCTCTTCTGGAAAAGCACCCATCCCTATCTTTGCTTGCTGGACTTCAGACCCTCTGGCCCTCACAGGTCCTGTGCTGACCTGACAATAGCTGTCATGTGAGTGTCCCACTAGTGCCCACCTCTCCTGGTGGCCCGAAGTACTGGGGGTGGATGGCCTCTGATCTGCTCAGGAACCTACCCGAGTGCCCTGGGTGAGTGACAGGAGCAGAGCCAGTGAGGACCAGTGAGGACCGGGTAATGTGGGCATGGCTCTGACTGCCCAGAGCATACCCTGGTCCAGAGGTGGGCCTAGTCTGAAACTTCAAATTAGGGAGAGGCTGAGGGGGCTCGGCCCAAGTGAGGGCAGAGTGAATGGACAGAAGGTCCAAGAGCCAAACCAAGCAGTGGGGAGGCCGGGGCTCCAGGCCACCCTCAGCTGCACGTTGGAGGGTCTGCTGGCGGCCGGGCAGAGGCCCCCCCAGACTCGGTGCCTGCGCTGGCCTGCGGGCCACGTACCCAGGCTCAGGTCCCAGCTGTGTGCTCTAGGCTTTCTGCCTTCACCCTCAACTCAGGTCATGGGTCACCCTGCGGCTGTGAGCCCCCCTGGAGGCAGTGTGTGACCATGTGTTTTGCAGGTGTGAGATCTGGGGCCCCTGCACACCCCATCTTCTAGACCCAGGGAAGCCCTAAGCGAGGATCTGCTGTGAGCTCCCCCCAACAAAGGTGCAGTCACGGGGCAGCAGTGCCTTCCTGCCAGACTCTTCTGCAGCCCAGCCCGCACAGTGAGGATGGATGACCACCTGTTCTTTATTGAGTATTCTCAGAAGGCCAGTGACCTGGGGACTGCAGCTCATTTGGGAGGAGCTGAGGAGCTGAGGATCCTGAGCCCAAAGGGCCGTTTCCAGGGAGTTCTACTAGGAAGGAGAAGGGCCACTTGGGGCTGGGGCCTATCTTGCCCCCAGGCCCAAGGGCAGGGCCTGGTGCCCAAGTCATAGCTTGTTCCGGGGGCAGCGCTGCAGGGCCTCCTGCAGGGCCTCAATCACTCGGTCCACGTTCTCCCGGGTGGCGTTGCAGCCCAAGAGGCCGATCCGCAGCACCTGGGGGGCAAGGGCGGCAAGACGTCATCCTCCACCCAGGACCCCACCTGGCCCTGGCTGAGGTCTGGACAGAGCCAGGCGGGCTCCCAACGAAGGGACTCCCACCCAGGGTACCCAGGGAAGCCAGAGCTTCCTCCAGTCACACAGGGAGCTCCCAGGCCCAGTTAGAGCCCACAGAGCTCGAGAAGGGTATCCAGGGTGGCGGTCAGAAAAGGCCACTCAGAATCACCCTTTCAGTGGGCACAGCTGGACCTGGGCACAGGGCCTCCTGCCTGCTCTGCCCCACAGGGGAGGAAGGACATTCTGGGTGGAATTGGAGGTGCTGCACCTCACCAGCTGGGGAAGAAGGGCCCAGATCCCCCCTGTACACACCCCTGGGGTTTGGAGAAAGATGTTCCCTTCCAGACACCCCGGCTGTCCTGGGTCCTTGGATGACTGCCGACCTCAGCCTGGACCCAGGCACAGTCATACTCCATGTGGGGGTGAACCTAGTTTCTGTGGTAGGTATGGCCACCCACTCACCTTCCCCAAGGAGGGCCCCAGGCCGCCCGTGATTTCGATGGAGAAGTGGTCTATGAGGTACTTGACGATGTCTCTCCAGTCGTAGCCAGCGGGCACGGCAATCGTGGTGACGGTGGGCAGCCGGAGCGTCTGCAGGACAGGCCTGGCTCAGCACCATCCTGACAGCTCCGGGCAGCCCCACCCACCCTGCCTTGGGCTTCAGAGAGACAGGTGGGGCTGGGGGAAAACTGGGGGTTACAGGCTTCTGCTCAACCCCCAAGTGCCTCCATATGGCTGTTCCCTCAAGCAGGTCACACCCACCCTGTGTCAGGGGGGCTTCGGTTGCCTGCTGACACTTGGGGTGCCTGGCTCATTCAGCTGACCTTCCCCCCAGTCAAAGCCCATGAGTGGTTGGGCTGTGGAGGCCGATGGGAATCTTCCAGGCCAGGGATCCCCCATAACTAGTCCAGGTGGAGAGGCTATGGGGGAGACTGAGGCATCGAACTAAAGATTCAGAGGCTGGGGAGCCATGACCTTGATAGTGATGGCCCCCAGGATTGTCCCCAACCCCCAGGACCACAGGAACCTGCGTCCATATAGAGGGAACTGGGTAGGAGCTGTCCCCCCTCCACAGACCCCCATGGGGCAGAGACTCCCTCCCCTACCCCCAACCCCCCGGCCCCTGCCCTCCTTACGGGATCCTTCACGAAGAGCTGCAGGCCCAGCCCTTGAAGGCGCCCGTGCAGGTAAGCGGTGACGTCCCGGTGCCGTCGCCAGCTGTTCTCCAGGCCCTGCTTGGGGAGAGGGCACCAGTAGGCAGGTGGGTGGGGAGGAGAAAGCAGACTCCCACCCACAGGGGCAGCTTCAGACTGGGGGCTCCAAGCCTGCCGGGACTTTGAGCTCCTTGAGAGTCTCCTTAAGCCCCCAGGTTTGGGGCTATGGTTCTGTGCCCGGGGCTACCTCTGGTGAGGGGGATGGGGCCCAGCCAGCACTGGAGCCCGGGGGAGGTGAGTCAAGAGCACCTTGTGCAGGTCGGGGGCTGGCCAGGGGAGGGCAGGGGGTTTCTCAGTCACACACTGCCCCCTGTCTTCCCAGCACACTGATCACAACCTGAGTTCCATGTGGCTCCACCCTCTTGCTGCCCTACACCCTTACACCCAGCCCACCTTCAGAGCCACCCCCTGTGACACCAGGCCCAGTCTGGGGCTGGTGACCTCTGCCTCCTCCATGCCAGCTCAGCCCTG